AAGTTTTTACAAAGTATACCATTTTAAGAAATGTATTTATTGAGATTTCCTTAAAAAAAAACTGATATTAATTTACATTTATAGAGATTTAATGTTAAGTGATACTACATAAAATTAATAATCAAAACAGAGAACAGTATGCACAGATTTGAAGTGATTTAAATAATTTTAATTTCTTAATTGAAACCTAACTTAACGAAACTGCATGATTATTTCATAATATATTCTGATAATTAATTAATTTATTACTTATAAAGATATAATTAATAATTTTATAAAATTAGTTTCTAAATAGTAAAAGATATATTTATTTACCAAGATAATAATAAAAAAGATATGACAAGAATTAAAAAAATAAAGTTAATCTTAGAATATAATCTAAACTATATAACAAAGTTAAAACAATATCATAGTGATTAATTTTAACATTACTCTCTATTCAAGATAATGTATCAATCAACTGTTATTTGATAAGAGATTAAAAAACTTTCAAAAATTTACTTATCATTAAAAAAGTAGTATATTTTAGAAATTATTAAGATTCACAGAGATAATTATAACTTCTCTAATCGCAATTTAAGATTCTTAATTACTGATTAACTTTGCTCAACTTAAATTTTTACAAACATCAAATAGTAAACACTTATACATTACTGAGATCATGTACACAACTTTTTTAAGAGTCCGAACTAAATAATCACTGTTACCTTCAAGATGATTTTCACGAAATTAATTAATATTTAGTCAAAAAAAGTATCCCTCATCACTTCATAGCTTTGAAAAACTGTATTCTTTAGATGAACTCATCAAACCAGTTAAATAAAAAATTATCCAAGATTTAAAATTGATTAATTTAAAGATTGAAAAAAGGAATCAAAAATTTTTATTAGCGATACATATTCATAAATGAAAGTGAATCAATAATATATGGTTTTATGAAATTTTGTGTTAAATATTCAAAATTGTAATTCATCAATTATTTAACAATGATTAATTTTTCAATAATTTTGATAATTAAAGTTTATAATTATTTTTAATCCTTTATTAATAGAAATATAATTTTATAAACATGAATTAATTATTACAAGTATTCCATAAATTATTATTTCTTAATTTAGAACTTCAATCTTCTTAATGAATATAATTATATTACTCAAATTATACATAAATAAAAATACTAAATTAAATAAAAAGATATTCTATATTATTCAAGAATTAATCTTTGCAAATTTTGAAATGATTTCTCTATAGAATATTCTACCTTTTCTATCATCAATTCAAAATCTCCACAAAGTCTAAGTTTCTAATTAATAAAAATAAACAAGATAATTTTATTGATTTTATTGTATATAACTTAAAGTTAGAGTAATAGAAATTCATTATTAACAATAATAAAGAATATGTAAGCCCATTTTTAAGAGAAGGAAGCTCTAGCTGACATCTTTGGTCATATAAAAGATGTAGATGAGCAAAAGTTTAGTGTCATATTAGAATAATTAAGAAAGGAAAATGTTTAAGACATCATTGGATATCTTTCAGACCACAGGACTCAAAGCCAATTAGAATCATGTATCTTACAAAAAGGAGAGAATATCACCCAGGCTGACAAAGAATGGAAATTGCCTGTTGTTAGAAATGAAATCAAAGAAATCACAGAAATCACAGAAGTCTTAAGAAAATTAAAAGACCATGACTTCAATAAGAAAGACTATTCCTCTAAAGAAAATTTAGAATCTTCATTAAATCTAATTAATAGCGTCAAGGATAATAAATAGATCATCGAATTTCTATACTTTTTAGTTCAACTTACGTCTATTGATAACTCTCTAATATAATGCGGGTCTAATTCATTACATATATTAGTTTATATGAGGGTGGACCTTAGAAATAAATGTTTTGAAAATATCAGGATCAAGAATACTTCTATAATTAGAGGTAATTTTGTTGGATGTAATTTTAATGGATCTGAATTTGATAATCTAGATTTTAGTAAAGTTAATTTAAATAGTGCTTAGATGTTCGATTGTAAATTGAAGAACATTGAAATCCATGAATTGAATAAATTTGATGGTCATGCAAGCACTGTCTACTCAGTATGTTTCTCACCTGATGGAAATACATTAGCATCTGGTAGCGAAGATAAGTCTATCCGCCTTTGGGATGTCAAAAAAGAATAATAAAAAGCCAAATTAGATAGTCATAGTGGAACTGTCTACTCAGTCTGTTTCTCACCTGATGGAAATACATTAGCATCTGGTAGTTACGATAACTCTATCCTTCTTTGGGATGTCAAAAAAGTAAAATAAAAAGCCAAATTAGATGGTCATAGTGGATATGTTTACTCAGTCTGTTTCTCACCTGATGGAAATACATTAGCATCTGGTAGTTAGGATAAATCTATCCGTCTTTGGGATGTCAAAAAAGTATAATAAAAAGCCAAATTTGATGGTCTAAGTGGAAATGTTTACTCAATCCGTTTCTCTCCTGATGGAAATAAATTAGCTTTTGGTAATGAAGATAAGTCTATCCACCTTTGGGATGCCAAAACAGGATAATTAAAAGCAAAATTAGATGGTCATAGTGGATATATTTACTCAATCTGTTTCTCACCTGATGGAAATACATTAGCATCTGGTAGTGAAGATAAGTCTATCCGTCTTTGGGATGTTAAAACAGGAGAATTAAAATCTAAATTGGATGGGCATAGTGATAGAGTTTGGTCAGTCTGTTACTCTTTTGATGGAAATATATTAGCATCTAGTAGTGGTGATCAGTCGATCCATCTATGGGATGTTAAAAATGAAAAATAAATTTCATCCACTGACAAAAATTATAGAAATATCAATACGTAATTAAAAGCCCTAATTTTTTAAAACAATCCTATACCAGGTATTTATTATTTAATTATTATTTAGGCTCTTATTATTCAATTCTTGTTATATCTCAAGAAATTATATTGGAAGCCTAAGGAACACAGATCTTGTAAGGAGAATTTATTAATCATTAAG